GCAATTTTTTGGGCACATGCCTCAACACTTTTGCACAAGTATTCAGCCTGAGCTCCTCCCCTAAAATGATCCCTGGATGTGTGGGTATGCTTTTGTCAATTTCCCTTAATCACATTATTTCCTGCCCAAATGAAGCAGGTAGCATAGATTATTTTGCCTTGAGCAGATTTCAAACAGCAGATACAAAAGTATTGTTTGTGAAGGTGTACAATAGTTTTTTGTAGCTTTTTAAGCTTAAAACCCTGAAATATTTGCAGCAAAAAGGGTTCGGAAAGCTGGTAAATGGTGAGAATGCTATTGTAATTGGGCCATCCAGATCTGAATTATCAATTATTTTTCAGTGTGCATTGATGGTTGTTGACAGACATTGCAAAAGATGTCACGTTAATCATCGTGGATAATGTGTATGAAGGGTTTAGTTTTATTGTTTGTCTCATGATTGTCACTTTGATGTTGATTGCGACTTTTTTCAGTGTACACTGCAGGTCTTCAACAGGCGATAGTGTCGATTTGCTGAGTCGGACTATTTGTACCATCATGGTTGTTACTGATTGGTGTATCACGAACCTCGCCCATGGTTGATGGGTTTTATCCAAAGCATTCTTGGTATTGTGAGAGGAAGAAACTGATCCCTTAGTAGTCCACAAAACTAAAACCTTTATATATTGCAAAAGATATTAAAATGGACTTAAAAGTTCATTTCTATTGTAATTTCACCTCTAGCATCAATAATGCAAGATCCGTGAAAGTACCCTAAATCAGTAGGCATTGCTGTTGAGTTTATTGGCTAAAACCGCTACATCTTGAAATCATGATAAAAATTGCCATCAATAATGCATTCTATACACTTGACAGACATTAGTTAAATCATGCTAAGAAAACACTCTTTGTCCTCGAAATGTTTCTGCTTATCCTCTTCCAAACACTGATACAGTGTCTGTTACAGTGGTTTGTTGATTGTTAGTTAAACTGAGAATTTAAAATTTTGTAGCAGGCAGGTTTGGGCAAGAAAATGTTACAGGCTTACTACATGGTATAAACATGGGATTAATAAATACCATGCAAAAAAGTTGGTTTTGTTCCAAGTCTGTTCCTAATATTTTTTATCTGAAATTTCCCACCCCCTCCCCATGACACCATTACATGATTAAAAGTAAAATTCATAAAAGCAAATGTTGATGTTGATACTACATGAGAGACTTCAGTTAATCTTTTAAGCAGTTCCCATGTTTAGAATTGGGGACTGGGTTGATTTTTGGTTATTGGGGGTCCTTGGTCTCTGATATTGGCGAGGAGACTGCAAAAGAGAGTCTCCAGATGTCAGATCTCCAGAGGTTGGCATCTTTGCTTTTGTATGTTCGGAACTTAGAATGATGTAATCTGGTACATCATGAGATACAAAAACCAGTATAGCTCTTGACTTGAAAAAATAAAAAACATTTTGAGTTAGGAGGGTTACTTTTATTCTTGTGGACATTATAAACTATATTGTTCTTTTCTTCTGCCAGATTCATCCTTTCAGAGTAAAACATCAAGCAATATGAATAATCCACTTGGCCTGATTATTGCTCCAACAAGAGAACTCTGTATGCAGATAGAGAAACAGGCTAAAGAACTAATACAAGGCTTGCAGAGCATGAAGACAGCACTACTTGTTGGTGGTCTGCCTATTCCTCCCCAGCTTTACCGCCTCCAGACAGGAGTACAGATTATTGTTGCTACTCCAGGGAGGCTTTACGAGCTCCTTAGCCAATCCAGTGTTGATCTTTCATTTATCAAGCTCTTTGTGTTGGATGAAGTTGATACCATGCTGCAGTTGGGATTTCAGCACCAAGTAATGTTGTTGTTACTAACCTATTTTCAGTTTTAAAAAAGTCATCAATTGAACATAGAGGCTTTTCCAGACTTGCCAACCCATAAGAGGCAAAAAATCGTGATATTCTTAACCTAGAGCTGCCAAAAGTAGTGGGAACTGGGAAAAAGTCGTGAGATGTACCAAATTTCCTAGTGTAAGCACTTACAGCAGGGAGTTAGGGTATTACAAGTCCCATATTTTTAAAGCTACATCAGTAAACGTCAAAATGACAAAGATATGTTGGCTGAAGAATGTAAAAAATGCACCGAGTTGGCAATTCACACCTTTACTAATCAAACCCGACTGCTAGGCATTTTCTTTAGACTAAGTTTGCTATGGACCCTAGGGATGGTCCAAAAAAACCTTTGGAGTATGACTTTCGCGAAAGTGTGAGAAATCAGAGAGAGCATGAGATAGGTCGTTAAATGGTGTGGCTTACAACAAAGTTGTGAGACTTGGCAAGTCTGCTTTTCACATGACGTCGCATCTGCCATTTTGGTGTCCCAAAACAGTAAAACCGTGGCCATGTTGGTGTGGTAAACCAGTCCTTTGAGAGTTGAACTCTTGTCGTATGTAAACATTTTATTTTGTATCAATTCATTTGCATAACTGTTGGCCACATGAGGGAAAATACTCCATACTTAATACAAATGTATTCATTTGTTTATTTACTGCCCGCTATGCCCGCTGACATGAAGGGCGGCAACAAACGTCCTCCACTCCTTTCTGTTCTAGGCCAGCTTCCGGATGGTACCCCAGGTGTGGTTTAGGGTCTTCATCTCTCCCTTTACCGTTCATTGCCAGGTGTTCTTTGGTCTGCCTCTCTTGCGCTTGCCTTTTGGTGTCTAATCCACCTCCACCTGCTCCTCATGATGATGGTCTCCATCCTGTCCCGACGACAACGAGCAAACAGTTGTTCATTTGAGATGCTGTTGGACCAGAAGATTCTCAGGATTCTCCGCAGGCTCTTTGTGTGGAAAATGGAGAGCTTGCTATGCTCACTGGAAGTCATCCTTAAAACACTTTAGGCCATATAACAAGGTAGAAAGTACACAGCTCTGGTACACCTTCAGCTTTGTCTTTGTGCGGTACGCTGGACCTCCAAAAATTGTTGAGCATTCTGAAGATATTTCTGGCCTTGCTTAGATGGTTTTTAACGTTGTTAACTGCTCCTCTATCACATCTAACAGTGCTGGCCTGAGTAGGTAAACTGCTCAGTCCTTGGTAGATCTTCTCCATTCACCTGCACGGATGGGAGTTTGGGATGTTCAATGTCATCACCTGTCTTCTTCTGGCTGATCTTCAGGCCTATCTGCAGAGCGTATGTGTTAAGGCGAGATGTCTCCTCGTGGATGTGTTGGTGGGTGTGGGAGACCAGAGCCAGGTTATCAGCCAAGTCCAGGTCTTCAAGAGCTCTTAAGAGGGTCCATCCTATGCCTCCTGTCCGATCTTCTGTTGTTCGTTGCATCACCCAGTCAATAGGGAACTTACGAAACTACGACGGCGACGGCAATGGCAACGTCAAAAAGCAATAGGTTTAGTTAGCAAATCAACAACTCTGCACGTGCATCACGCTTTTTTGTACATTTCCTTGCTGTCCTTGCACTACTACCGCATGAAATGACCAAATTTTAAGTTTTTTTGAGGACGGGAACAGCAACTGATAAATTCTACCATCTGTGTCTGAACTCGGGTGCGGACCCCTCTCTTCAGCTCCAGCACAAATTCCCGTCTTTTAAGTAGCTGGGCGACTTGGGATAATCGCAAAGTGGTTTGAAAGGATGCGGAGTCTATTTTTCAGCGAAGTTTTCATGGACGTCCCTGTTGTCGGATCATAAGGTCCCTAATGGTGATGTTGAACAGGAGAGTTGACATCACACAGCCTTTCCTCTCTCCAGTCTGCATTTGGAAACTGTGGTCGTTGTTTCCTTCTGTGCATGTGAAATTGTTGTGAAAGCTCTTGATGAGAAGACAACTTGGACAACTTGGAGTATACGACAAAGGCTGTCCCTGTGTATGCTGTTAAAAGTTGATGTAGAACTGTCTCTGCCATTCCGTGCACTGCTCGATGATGATGATGACATCAGCTTCTTCTGTTTGTGACAGCCTGTTCAGGACTTCACTGATGTGTTCTACCCAGCCAGTGTCTATCTCTGCTTCTGATGTTAGCAATCATCCCGGATTGTCTCTAACTGGTGTATTGGTAGGTCCATGATACTTGCCGCAGCTTACCTTGGTGATCTTATACATCTTCCCTTGCTCTCCTTTGCTGGATGCGTCTTCTGCCTGCCTTCCAAGGTCATCTATGAACGCTCGTTTGTCTGCTGTTGCCAATTTCTTCACTTTTCTGTCTGCCTCTTGGCACTGTTGCTTGTGCCTTTCTTTAAGCTTCTCGGAATTGGCCTCAATGAACTGTTTCTTCAAGTGTCACCAAGTTTCTGCTGGGATTCATTCCTTCTTCCTTTCTCTTGTACCCAAGCCAGCTTTACTAGTCTGATCAGAATGCGTGTAGTCCTCCAAATCTGCCAGGGCTTGAAACTTTTTCTTCAGATGCAGAACAAAGGTACTTGTAACTTTAGGGTTTTGTATTTTCTCCACGTCAAACCGCTGCTTTCAGGGTCTTTTACCCCATGTTTTCCTCAGCTTCACTCTCAATTCTGCCACAACCATATCGTGATCACTGCCAATGTCAGCTCCCTTCTTCTCTCTGACGTACATAAGTGACAGCTGCCAGGTACCGTTGATCTTGAAGTGGTCTATCTGTTTTTTATCCCTTTTGTTGGGAGATTACCATGTCAGCTTGTGGATATCTTTGTGTGGAAAGAGTGTTCCTCCGATGAAGAGGTCGTAAATTGTGCAGAGTTTCACCAGCCACTCTCCATTCTCATTAATGGTACCACAGCCCTCTCTTCCTACGGCTCTCTCGTAGTTGGTGTTATCTCTTCCAACCTTTGCATTCATGTCCCCCATCACAATGTTCATGTCATGCCTTGGTATTTCTTCTAACTCGGCTTGCAACAGATCATAAAATGTGTTTTCACTTCTTCATCATTGTTACTTGTATGAGCATAACACTGTTTGATCGTCAAATTGATCTGCTTCCATCTCACCCTGATCTTTTATAAGTCTGCTGTTGACAGGTTTCCACTCCATCAAGCAATTCCCTGTACCTTTCCTGAGGATGATGGCCACCGCCTAATTTTGTTGGTTGTCATCTCTTCCTGAGTTTTGAACTGTCTCTCCTGTATTAGTTCTGAGTCTTTTCCAGACCCCATCCATCTACTCTCAATAAATCTTAGGATATGCAGATTGTAGTGTCTTATCTCTGATGTTACTTGACCAAACCTACCGATCTTATTCATTGTCCTCACATTCCAAAATCCTATCCTGGTCATCCTATCCTCGGATTTGGTGCTTAGGACAGATTCCATCTTCCTATCAGCTTTCACCACTTTGTTTCATCCAAGTATCTTCCGATAACTCTGGAAGCCCATTACAACCAGTTGTTTTGGTTCCTTCTGTTGCTCCTTTCGTAATAAAAGACTTTTTATGGGACTGGATTGTTAGTCCAGTGCCCAAACCCCAACCTGGAGGGACAGTGGATCTCTTTTCGTCTGACCTCTACTCTTCGACCTGCCCAGCATGGGTGGCCCAGCCACTCTCTCCAGGTCACTGAGGTACACAAGCCTCTTGACCACTGACAACAGGGTAATAATCCTCCAGGGAGACTTAATACAAATGTAAGGCAAAAAATATGATAACTGTTTTTAGGTGATTTTGGAGAAAAATAAGCTCTTTGAACCTTTCGTTACAAAAATTTTACCACTTCTCTGTGAAAATAACGGACAATTTAAAAAAGCCTTGCAAGCAAGATGAGATTTTCGTGGTGTACGTATAGGCAAATAGTTCTTTTCTTTGTTAACTGCTGCTAATGTTTTCATGACAGGTTCAATCAATTTTGAGGAACTTACCTGAAGTGAAACAAACCTTAATGTTTTCAGCCACAATTCCTCCGTCAATTGAAAGGATGGCTTCCCGGCTTCTTATAAATCCTGTGTGCATCTCTGTTGGGTTGCCAAGTGCACCTAATGATTCTGTTAAACAGATTGTGCTATGGGTAGAAGACAAGTCCAAAAAGAAACGCCTTTTCTCAATTCTTCTGGACTCCAAACATTTCAGGCCTCCAGTTGTTGTGTTTGTGGATTCCAAGATGGGTGCTGATCTGCTTGCAGAGGCAATACATGAGGTACNCACTGACAACAGGGTAATAATCCTCCAGGGAGACTTAATACAAATGTAAGGCAAAAAATATGATAACTGTTTTTAGGTGATTTTGGAGAAAAATAAGCTCTTTGAACCTTTCGTTACAAAAATTTTACCACTTCTCTGTGAAAATAACGGACAATTTAAAAAAGCCTTGCAAGCAAGATGAGATTTTCGTGGTGTACGTATAGGCAAATAGTTCTTTTCTTTGTTAACTGCTGCTAATGTTTTCATGACAGGTTCAATCAATTTTGAGGAACTTACCTGAAGTGAAACAAACCTTAATGTTTTCAGCCACAATTCCTCCGTCAATTGAAAGGATGGCTTCCCGGCTTCTTATAAATCCTGTGTGCATCTCTGTTGGGTTGCCAAGTGCACCTAATGATTCTGTTAAACAGATTGTGCTATGGGTAGAAGACAAGTCCAAAAAGAAACGCCTTTTCTCAATTCTTCTGGACTCCAAACATTTCATGCCTCCAGTTGTTGTGTTTGTGGATTCCAAGATGGGTGCTGATCTGCTTGCAGAGGCAATACATGAGGTACGTCAGTCAGAATAAAGGAAAGAATCTATATTGGATATATGTTTGTTGGGCAAAAGATTCTATTCAACTTTTGATTTAGGCCTAATAATAATAATTTATTTCTAGCGCGTTACATTTAATCTCAATGCTCTTACAAAAAATAAAATACGTCAGAAAATTACAAATAAATTCAAAAATAAAAGTAATATTACGATTCTAATTTAAATAAAGTAAATAAAAATGTTTTAAGTCTAATTTGTCTTAAACATTGGTCTATATAGACACGAATTGTCATTAACATTTGAACGGAGACTACTATCCGGTTGATGAACATTGAATAGATCATTCAAATACTTGGGTGCTAAACCATTTAAAATCATATATAGGTAATGAGCAAAAACATAAAGATGATACGTTCTCTAACGGGCAGCCAATGAAGCGTGTGGAGAATTCGAGTGATGTGATCTCCTTTCCTAGTTTTTGTAACCAGTCGAGCGGCTGAGTTCTGAATACGCTGAAGTTTCTAGATTTCTTTATCAGGGAGCCACACAATAGACTGTTGCAATAGTCCAATTGAGAGGACACAAAGGTGTGAATCAGTTTTCTGTTCTCGGTTGATCCAGATGCTAGCGAATATTACCGATACGCTTGAGGGCAAAGGATGCAGATTTGCAGAGATTACTCACATGAGTAGACATCATCAAGTACTGGTCAAGGGTCACCCCAAGATCACAGGCACTTACGCTTGCCTTGCTCATAGAGCCATCAATAGTCACCATGGCTACAGGCTATACTGTAGATAACGAGATGAAAAATGCACAATTTCCTTTTTTAATGAGTTGCACATTAATTTGTTCTTAGTCATCCTTGACCTTCCAAGTATGATAGACGAGCTGGACAATTTTGCATAATTCTCGAAACTGTCTTGGTAGATGGATAAAAACGTAGACACTTTATTTTACGTAGAAAATATGCTTATACTTGGCACTGGTAAAATTAAGGAAATAATTGAAATACAAATTACATCTAAAATTAAGATAAATAGATAAATTTTCTTTGCCATCGCTATCTATACGTCCTTGTTTGTTGTATATATAACAGTAAAAAAATCTTAACACAAAGAGTAAACTATGTTGTTAAAACAAATGACTTATATAGCATGTAACAATGAAGATACAAAGCACATGCACTCAACAGGGACCACTAAATGTAACTTGATAGTAATGGAGTGGTATGATTTATTCTTAGATGTGTGATCTTGCATGTTTGTCTATGCATGGTGACAAATCACAGAGTGAAAGGAATAAAGTGCTGGAGTCATTTCTTGCTGGTGAATGTCCTGTTCTTGTTTGCACACCAGTACTTGGAAGAGGAATTGATCTTCCCAATGTTAGCCAGGTAAACATTTAAACACTAAGAGTCCATTTTCTTATTTTAATACATGTACATATAGTATATATCACAAAATAGTAACCTCTGTTCATAAGGTGATCCATTTGAAGACATAGTAATGAAAAAGAATTTGAAGATTGTGCGTTGAAATTTGAACGTCTCCCACCAAAAAATGTCTCTGTTTTTCTATTGGCAGTAGACTATTATTTATAGTTTCTAAATACGCTATGTTTAATTTTTTTATACTTGGATCAGATTAATGGCTCACTTGAACCTTAACAGACGGTAGCATATAAAGTGGTCAGCAAACTAGCCATACCATTAACAAATAATAATTAAAATGATTACTACAACCCCCTCTCCAACAAAAGAAAAACAAGTTTTTAAATGAGATAAAACATGCTTAACTCGATTCGTCTTCATTTGCCTATTCCTCGGCAACTTCAGGAGATAAGAGTTGCTCAGTGTAAGAGGTAATCTTCAAAAAGCAGTTTAATTCCGTCGAGTTGTATTTTAGGTGTTTTTGCTATGTTTTTAGGCAGTACTTTGGCTAATTCTTTTTTTCAAAACGTGTGAAATTTTCCGCCATTTTCTTGAGTTCTAGCAAAGCAGCTGAGTTGAGCTGGTTGCCGCCCTTTCTTCTTTCGATATCCTGTACTGTTGACGTCATTTTACTAGATATCGCAAACGTCTTCCAAATTTGGTGAACACTAGCTAGTTTTGGAGAATTAACCAGAGGATTTGTGCCAATCAGCAAACGATAAATATTTTGAATGAATAATACTTGTACATTTGCGCCATTTAAGATTTTATCACTGCTTGCTGTTCGCAGTTACCCGAAAAACTGTAGTTTAAAGAAAAAGAGAGAGATAAGAAAGGGTTTAAATAGACTAATGAATGTTTGCGTTTCAGGTGATCAACTTTGATATGCCTTCATCAGTTGAGGAATATGTCCACCAAGTGGGGCGAGCTGGCAGATTAGGGAAA